TATTCTTATTATACTGGCCATCTGATCTTCAGTAGCGAGCCAGCGTAGGTGGCAGTTGTTGATGAATGTCTGTAGTTTGTTGGAGATCTCTTTCGTGACGCGCCAAGCCTCTGAACCATACAGAAGCACTGACTTAACTGACGTTGGTGTTGAAAATCCAGATCCTGTTCACGCTTTGTGCTGAGTGCAGTGGAGTAGATCTGCACACTGGTTTCAGGCTAATGAACGCCTGTCTTGCTGTGTTTCCGATTCTGACTTTGACATCCTCGTCTGTGTCTGTGCCACCTAGATAGGTGAAGGAGGTTACTTCCTTTAAGTTTCTCCCATTGATGGTGATTGGAGTTTGTTGTTGTTGTTGTTGGAGTTGTTGGTTGGGTATCTTCATCACTTCTGTCTTCTCTATATTCACCTGAAGTCCCGTGTTCGCTGCCCTGCCTCTTCTGTCAACTTGTTAGTTTTCGCCTGTAGATCTTCAAGTTTGTGTGACATTAGACACAAGTCATCGTTGGCGAAATCCAAATCTTTTAGGCTTTTTTGATCGGTTGAGTCAGCGTATCCTCCTCTTCTCGCTCCTCACTGTTTGTTGCATGATCCAGTCGAGTCGACCACACTCAGGAATATCATGGGTGATAGTAGACAGCCTTGTTTCACTGCTGTCTTCACTTCACTGCAAAGGCATCACTGAGCTTCCCATTGTGAATTACTTGGCTGGTATGTGGCGTCTTCATATGGTTGTTGAATGAGGAGGATAAAGGTGTGTGGTATTCCGTAGTGTTGAAGCAACTGCCAAACTACTTGTGGGTCGACGCTGTCAAAGGCTTTTTCTGAGTCGATGAAGTTGAGGTGTAGACGTTGACTGACGTTCTATGCTCTGTTGTATGGTGATGCGTAGAGTGGCGTTTCAATTTGGTCAGCACATGATTTGTACTTCCTGCATCCAGCCAGCTGGCCTGTTCCGGTCGTAGTTTTGAATCCAGTGCATCGTTTAGTCTCTCCAGGATGATGTGGCTTAATATTTTGCTTGCATTTGGTGAACAGGAGTGGAGCGTGATTCCGCACCAGTTCTTGCAAAGCCTTAGGTCTCCCTTCTTCGGGAGTTTGAGAAGATAACCCTTCTTCCAATCGTCAGGTACCTTTACTCGCTTCCAGACCTTCTGCAATAGTGGTGTGAGCATGTCCGCTGTTGTCTCTGTGTCTTTTCTCACTGCTTCAGGTGAGATTCCACCTGGTTCTGCTAGTTTCCCGCATTTCAGTAGCTTTATGGCGCGTAGGACTTCAACTTTGGTTGGGGGATTTATGTTCACTGGTAGTTCTGTGGTTGGGCTGCAGGTGGTATTTCTGGACGAAGTGCAGGTGGTGGTGGTGGTGGTGGTGGTGGTCGATTCAAGAGCTTTTTGAGGTGGTCGGCCTATCGTTTCCTTTGTTTCACTTCTTTGGTATTTAAATTTCCGTCATCATCTTTTATTGGTTTCATCCTTGATGATCTCTTCTCTGCCATATAGTAACCTGGTTATTTGATACAATGTAGTCAGGTCTCTCCTACCAGCCTGCAGCCTGTTCTGCTTCACTTGCCAATGTGTCGTGGAGGTGTCTTTTGTCTTTGTGGGCACTCTTCACTTCTTTGTCCAGTGTAGTGTTTTATACATTGTACTCAGTTCCCCTTGTCGTTGAGCATCCTTGCATTGGTTTATCTTCTGCTTCACCATCACCATCTTCCTCTCCCCGCTCTATCAGCTTCCATGTATCCGTCGAGATCCATTCCTTAACTTCTTTCTTCTTCCTTCCTAATATGGTTGTACCGGTTTCTTTCCACATCTCTTTCAAAGACTTCCAGTGTTCATCTACACAGGTTTCTTCAGGGATGTTCCTCGATATCTCCCATTTTGTCTTGATGGCTGGCTGACGTGATTTCCTTTGTAGTTTCATCCTTCAGTTCAGTTTGTGTTCTGGGTGTTGAACTTGAACTTGTGGTCTATTACCAATTTTCTTGGAGACTTTCAACTTGATTTGGAAGGTAGGTTCCTTGCACTAGATAGTGGTCTGAGCCTACATCTTCTCCTTTTCTTGACCTTGTGTCAAGTAGGCTGCATCTCCACTTTCTTGAGATTGAGATAAAGTCGATCTGATATTTAGTTTAGTGTGTCGCGGTGTCTGGTGAAATCAAATCCATGTCGCTTTGTGGATATCCTTGTGCTTGAACACAGTGCCTGACTCCAATCACCGAATCGTTGAATGCACACAATTCTGCAAACAATTCTCCATTCTCGTTCATCATTGCACCTAGCTCTTCTCCACCCATGATAGATGAGTTCTCTTCCTGTGTTGTCGCCTCCCAGTTTGGCATTCATGTCGCCCATTAGAATTTTGAAGTCGCCAACTGGGGTGGGGCTTGTCCAGCGTAGATTGCAGTTGTCTGTAGAACTCCTCCTTCTGCATTATTTGTAGGTGCGTAGCGTAGCATTGTATAGTTGTGACCTTCCTTCCTTTTGAGTTGAACCTTGCTGTCATGATCCTGATGCTGCAGGAGATTGGTTCCCACTGTATGAGAGCTTTCGATGCTGTTGGGGACATCATGATAGCCACTCCAACACTCAGTGTGCTCATGGTTGTCGTCTGGGTGACCGGAGTAGACTATTGGTTCTCCAGTTGACAGTCTGGAGAGTCTACTTCCATTCCATCTGCTTTTGCACATTCCTAACACTTCAATATGATATCTTTTCATCTCGTCTGCAATCTGGGCTGCCTTGCTGGGTTCAAACATGGTGCGGACATTCCATATCCCCACGTTTACTTTCGCTTTCATCGAGGGAGAGAAGATACATCGGCCCGGCCAGTTGGCTTCCCGAAGGCAGGCTTTCACCAACTGACGTCATTTTGCCTCTCCGATTCCAGCGAGAAATAATTTTGTTTTTGTTTTTTTATATGTCGTTTGTGCTTCGAAGTTTCTGTGGTGGTTGGATTCATTTTACGGGGTAGGTTTGTTAAGCCGATGTCCAACCTTCACTGTTTATCCCGTCTTAGAACCGGCTAGTAACTAATAAACTATCAAACCAGGCGAGGTTAGATTTATATACCAGGTCAAAAATCATGTAGTTTATCTTCTTGTCCAGTCGTGTCTGTATTATGATTTTCTTTCAATATGATTTCATTATGAAACGTTGGAATTTTTTATTTCAAACACTCTGAGATTTAAATAAATATTATAAATTTAGGCACGTTATACAATAATGCCATGGAGCAAGAAAAAGAGAACGAAAACTGACCAGAAGATATGTTCAAATGCAGCTGAGTTGCATGATTCCTGAGAACAAATTCACTGAGTTTTAAAGCACCATTGAGCACTAATCTTATGCGACTATCTTTTACGCGATAGTGCCACATCATACATTAACCTCTTATCAGCTTCTCACCAGTTCCAAGCTTCTGGCTACCACTAAAGAGTATTGAGTTGTATTGTTTTTCTCCACGTTGTCTGTCGTCATATATATATACACTCCTAGTTAATACTTTTCTCCTGGCAAACGAGGTAGGTCTGTTGGTAAAGGAATTTCATGGGGAATCTGAATTTGTGTAGCAGTTCGGAAGTCTTATCCTAATTTAGTCCATTTTTCAAAATCTCGCCTGGCGATTACTTCATACATCGGTGTAGTGTAAACTCCAGTTATTACTATGCAGGATAAAGTTATCGCAGGATGCTTATACACTCTGTCTCTTATTAGTTCATGATGATCATTTTTTTTCAGTTTGATTTCGATGTAAAACTATCATACAACAGAATCGCTAATATTAATTATGCATACTGGCTAGCAGTGGGATCCAGGACGCGTGTTCCATCCTACTTAGGACTCGTCAGATGGATGTACTTGCCTCCCAGTGAGTGTTATCCCTACCGAGACTCGAACTCCGGACCGATCGCTTCAAACACTAGAGTGTTACCCACTAGACCACAAAGTCACGGTAGCCACTTCTTGTGCGACGATAATAGTTTTAATGTTGATGCTTGTATTATCTCGTCGCTGGATTGACTGAATTGATCGATCTCTATTGGCACATGGGCTCCTATGCAGATACCTCGATAATGCCCATGTTTGAATTAATGATGGATATTGGCTAGCAGTGGAATCCACGACGCGCGTTTCGTCCTCAACGTCGGGATAATACAAGCAACATTATTAGACTTGCTGATACCTTTTAAATTGAATGACCGATTAAAAATCGTCGTCTGAACAGTTTTCTTTATAACTTTTATTCATTCATGAAGAGTTTTTACAGAATTGAGTGAAATTTAAGCGGCAGTTCTCATCATAAATCGTCATTGTTCAATGAATCATTTAGTACGGAGCAACTATCTTTTTCTTATGATAAGAGTCTTAAATTATGGTCAGTATCATCGTTTCTTTTTTCGAAGATTGAAGTTTCTAGACTTGAACTAAACTTTACATAGAACAGACATGCACCTTTTAACATATATTCTTTATTTACATATTTTAATGACGGATAGTGGCTGACAGTGGAATCCAGATCGTGCGTTTCGTCCTACGTTTCATCCAGCTGATGAGTCCCAAGTAGGATGAAACGCGCGTCCTAGATTCCACTGTTAGCCATTATCCATCATTAATATATGTAATTAAAACATATGTAATATCGAGGCATCAGCGCCGGAGCCCATATGCCAATAGGGACCGATCAATTCGGTCCAATCGACGACGGAATACAAGCAATAACACTATTCTTCATTTAATTATGAACACTTGTTTTCATTCCGTCGACATGGTTAGCCGGAAAATCAGATTCATATTTTGTTTGTTATTCAATTTTATTGCAAGGCTAATTAAATAAGTTTGTGTCAGTTTAACATGATTCAAAAAAGCTTGGAATACAGGCATAAGTACCAGTTTGCATATTAGGAATTTATTTTTATTCACCTGTTTTAGATCATTCTTCTTACTCAAGATCCCCAACCATACTGGTCTTCTTTTTCTCTCTCTCGTTAAATCCAGGTCACATTGTGGAAAGAGAATTTAGAAGGTAACTGGATTGCTTTAAGCGAAATCGCACGTGGCCACGGTGCATCAAGCCTGATCGGAGCTGAGGAAAACAGTCAAACATCAAACCAGTCCACCGCTCAAATAGCTACCTAAACTTGAATATAAGTGTGTATCTGTGTGTTTGCTGATCTTTTCCGTTCTGTATTGTCGTACAGCTTTGTTTGTTAACTGTCGGTTTGGTCCAGTGTTGTATTCCATCTATCCTTCTTTATGCTTTCCGTTTAAATGTAATGACAAGGTTTTTCTCATTAATTTATTGAATACTGCTCACCTTGTAAAAAAATTCTGTGCAGATTAGCATATTTATAATTATTCTTCTAAGGGGAAGTGTTATGGTATAGTCGAACACTATTATTATTATTGTTTATACAAAGGGGGAAGCTTCCAGAAATATTCTCATCTTGTTTCAATCTAAAGCGTGGAGTAAATGGTTTTTTGAATACCTAAATACCATTTCTTATTCATTTGAAACAATCTATATGGCGTGTAAAAAGCGTCTTGTGGAAATAGTTTACTGTTTCCAAAGAAACTCAACTGAATTGAAACGACGGTGTTCACAAAGTCAACTTTTTTGAGAAACCATGTAACTTTCTTCAGTATTACTCGCACTATGATTCCTCCTACGAATCAAAAACCTATAACGTCTTCACGTGTCTTGACTTCAGGGTGTCAGCTGTACAAGAGGAAAGCAAATGCTTTACAGTATACTCGTTCTTTGGTAAGTAATCACATATCTCGTCGGTGCCAGAGAAGATGCAACTTGGCGGATGTCGAACAGGCGTTTTGTATCTAAACTAAGATTAAGCCAGCAATCAACCTTTTGAGAATGATGCATCTCCCCAATGTAAGTGAAGTAGTTAGCACTTTCCATCACTTTACTCCTTATTCTTAAATTGAGAGTAGTTACAGATCAGTTGTGCAGCATCATCTTACATCTTACTAGTGCCTAACACATGCTAAACATACTCTGATTTCCCATCAGCGAGTTCAGGAGACTACATCTTATCAGTTTCTTCGCCCAACAGTAATATGTTAGCTGTGCACTTTAAGTGAACTACTTGCGAAATTCGTCATGACATATTACACTATACTAGTCACTGAAACGATAAGTTAAAAAGAAAAGCAGAATTTGACTGGTAACGCAATATTGTATTCCTGCTAAGTGTTGCCAGCAAAGACTAGACCATTCTTTAACCATGAGATTTGTTGCCATGGCATAGTCAGATAAAACTATCCCTTCCGCGATCTGATTATTGTTCCTAAATAGCCTCCGAAACTGAGTATTTTAGATTAGATATTGGTGATGAATAGGTTTTTTGAAAGTTAATCAGGTAATCATCCTGTTAGTGGATGATGTTAACTGGTATCTTCCGTGGAATTTAAATTGGTTTCCTTTCGAAATTATAATACTTCTGTACTCTGCAAAATGATCAGTCTGTGAGAATTTCGATTTACCGTATTACTTTTTTCCACAAATCATTTGCTCGTTCAGATTTCAATATACCCAGATTGTTAGTGTATTTTAGTGAATATCGCATGTAGCAGCTTATGGTTTAGCTTTTTACGGTTGAACTAAACTTTAATGACGTGACACCTGGAGGACAACCAATCACGTTGGAGATGATTTATTCAGTCTATTTGTTACGCCCGTTTACTGTGTTGTTGACGCCGCATAAACCTTTGATGAATTTTGACGAAGATTACATTGCAGATTGTATGTGAAATTTGTTGGAGAAATTAATGGGGTTGAAATAGATGAATATCTTGTTGGAAAACTTGAATATAATCTAGGACGATGACTTAAACAGGACTGGGTAAGTTATAACCTACCCAATGTATGTATTCATACATTTGTCTTGACAAACAACGACCAAAATACAAAGGAATTACATTTTCAATGGATAAAAAACGAATCAGAAAAATCTATCGTAGTAGTTTGGAAAAAAAATATGTAGCTTTTGGTATCACAGTATACACAAACGCTTGGAAGTTATACATGCCTTTATCCGAAATAGGTTACCCCCACCAAGTTACTGTTCACAAAATACGCTTTATTGATCAGATAACCAGAGTGCATATAAACAACTTTGAAAATATCTGAAGTCACCTTAAAAAATTTCTAAAGACCTTTAACAGGATCATGACGGGAAATTTCCCAAATATCATTTAAATGATATCGTCTCACATGGATTAGCAGTAATGCAGACAGTGGTGTGGTTCCAAAGAGGATAAACATATTTAAAATCTAGATGTCTTTAAATCTCAGGTAAAACATTTGCCTTCATAACTACTTTGTCCTTCATATTCTGGATTCTGATTGGATAATGCATACTGCAACGTGGTTCGCTATCACTAAAGTTTAGTGTTCAACCCCTTTTACCTAATGGGTTATGGCTAACTGATAAATGAGCTCTTTTTTACCAATTTGTGGTGATGATGAAATCTCACGTAATTCATTTGACGACAATTACATGTTTAAATAATCATTGATAAAAAGTATCACAGTAGTCAATGATGATTAAGTTTGCTAAAAATTTATACATATATTCTGATAAATTTTCAGATCCCTTTTGTGATTACCTTGAACTATATTATATTTTCAAATATACGGGTTGTATGCCAGTGGTTGTCATAGCAGCCATATGTTTACTTCAGCAGTTATTTGATAATAGAAGGGAGATAGGTTTGTGTATACTTTCATCTCGACTGATTTGTTTGCATTAAACGATTTAAGCCATTGTCTATCGTTTCGTGTGTGCAACTTGAATCGATTTGAATTGAATATAGTGAATTTCACTCACTCTTTCTCTCTTTTGTTTTGAACAGAATTGTAACTTGTCATTTCTTTAACATTTACGGACATCAATGACACCCGCATTTAAAGTTTTAAGCAAAAGCAATTTGTAATAGTTAGAAATGTGTCAGCATATTATCTTTTAATCTGTCGTAGAATTATTGCAACCTTATCATTACATCTGAACAGTAATTTGAAATTCCAATGTTTTGGTTGACTGAAGACCACTGATAAGTCGATCATGGAACTGACTTTCATGTTTGTTGGTACTCAACAACTAATTTTTTCTCTCTTGCAAATTGCCTCAGATCTTCAAATTCATATAGTGTAAATCTACGGTCAAAGTAGTGGAAGATTGTTTCTTCATGGGTTAAGATATTTGATAAATAAAAATAGTAATTCATTCTTTTAAAATTGGTCAGTCGCGGCCCGAATAGCTAGACGGTAACTTCGCTGAACGTAGATAAGACGGAGGTGATAAAGGTACCTAACCAACAACAATCATCATTAACGGGAGAAACCTAAGGGAAGCAGCCTTTTTCATCTATCTAGGCAGCATCGTTTCAACTACAGGCGGCACAGATGACGATGTCAAAATCAAGATCGGAAAATCAAGACAGGCTTTCATTAATCTGAAATCACTGTGGAAATTGACTGCACTCAGCATAAAAACAAGATCCGGATTTTCAATACCAACCTTCTATGTGATGGTTCAGAAACTTGGCGCGTTATGAAAAACATTTCCAACAAACTTTAGACATTCATCAACAGCTGCCACCTACGCTCGTTGTTGAAGCTCAGATGGCCAGAATAATAAGAATAAGCAAGGAGGAACTCTGGCTGGCAATGATCCAACCAAGAACCCATCGCCCAACAAATATGCTGAGGAAAGTGTAGATGGATTGGGCAGGGCATCCACTGAGAAAACCATTCGGAGACACCTCGCGCCGGGCCCTCGAGTCTAATCCAAAGGGGAAACGACGAGTTGGGCGTCCGAGGTGAGGTTGACATGGAGGAGATCATGTGAGGAAGAAATGAAAGCTTGTGGGCAGTTGTGGCGCCAGAGAAGAGAGTGCAATGGAGGCGTGCTACTGAAGCTCTATATTTCACTAGGAACCCAAGGGACAAATAAAAACATCGCTGACTATAACATTGGGGTTGAATTTCAGGCAAGACATCAGTTCCGAGATTTTTTTATTTGCTAGAGAATTTAACTCAACTAAGGATTGGATAAGATGATCAGTGAAGCACTTCTATAAACAGATTTTCCTCGCCAGTATGAGATTAGAAACTGAGTTTGTGCTAGTGTTTTCATTTTGAATAACATTTTAGGTTACAATAGCCAGTTGGATCCGTAACCCACAAATAAGTTTTATTAGGTAGTTTACAACTGGTAAGACGATGGTAGGCGAATTCGCTGGTTTTTAAGTGTATTTTTCAATTCCATGAATTTGTCGATTCATTGACAATTTCAAGTTTATGTACCGGATAGCAGGCAATCGAAGACCATATAAAGGCAACTTGAATTGTGTATCAAAGTGTTCCTTCCATCGTTTTAGTTGCTTTTCGTGTGAGTGGATCATAGACCTATGTTTTTCTTCGATAGTTTCGCCAACCATCGACTTATTCACTCCAGTTTTCTTTTTTTTTTAAACCGTCGGCTGTTGCCCATTACAACTGCTTTCTTCTTGTTTTTAACTTTCGTTACCCATTACTGCTCATGATTTGAGTGGGAACTCTTTGCTAGTTTACATTTGAGTTGCTTTTCTTGCTCACTTCACTCTTAACCCACAAGATTACCTCCACATACGTTCATTAATTTGGATAGAGCTGTTGAGGCTTGCTAAACTTTTCTTGGTTTTTTTGAATGTTTCTTGGTTGGATTTATCGCCAAACGTCTTCAGGATCAGTAATATTGTTGTGTTCTGATAACCGTTTTCCCTGTTCCTTTTTAAAAGCAACGTTAACATTTTCGGACTAAGCTTATTACTCTCTTCCTATTTTCACTTAATCACAGAAATAGACATGATAAAAGTGAGACAGTCACGTGCAAAGGACTGGCAATCTCCCACCAATGCTCATGAAGAGTAAGCGCTAATGACTTGATCCATGTGTCCATCGTATGTTTGCGACCTATGGTTGCTTGGTTGGACAGTGTCTGATGTTTTTACTATCTGTTGACTTGTTTCAAATTCAGCAAACTTTAAAAGTAACGGTAAAACGATTTAGTGATTATTAAACGGCCTAAGTGCTGCTGGAGGTCTTAGGCCTTTGGATAATTTCAGACTGCCTATTCTTAAGTAGGTTAATTGTTATTTGATTATCTGAGAATGAAAAATTTGATTAGCATTTTGTGATCGCAAAGTTGTAAGACACCTTAAAGACGTACATATGTAATTTACAGTAAAAGATTCAGATCTTGTACACTTTTGTCCGTACTTACGGAACTATCGGTAACAAAACCATCGTTCAGGGCAGAGTGCACATGTTTTAGCATTGTTCTGTTTTTCTTCTTTAAGTGAAAAGGTAGTACACATGCAACGCTGTTTATCTTGGAAAACATCTTACTGCCGTCGCATTCCTATCTAACGAGTAGTATGATTTCACTCTCAAGCAGAAATCACCGCGAAGACTGTATGCACCATAATACCAGCCACTTCTTGTTTTACCATTGTCCAGCCGACCCTTCAAGAATCGAGGACCTCAAAAGCATAGTTCTTGCAGTTATCACGACATGTTAGTATTACCACCACTTAAAGGTGGCAGATGTAGATGGGGTTGCATTTCACCTTGAAATATGAGAGTAGATGGAAAACGTTTGAAACTGAGTTGTAGGGAACCCTCCATATATTTGTTAAGGAACCGAGTTTTTATGGAAATTATATCAAAATTGATGATAAACTCT